GGAGTCTCACAATCTCTCCTGCCCGGGCTGGCTTTGAACCGCGATCCTCAGATCTCAGCCTCCTGAGTAGCTAGGATTACAGGCGTGAGCCACCAGCGCTCGGCCCGGGTTATTCTTTCAAGAGTAGCTAGCTGGCCATTTCCGTTAGGAGCCAGCTATTCTATACCTCTCCTCCCTGCTGGGTGTGGGTCTGGCTCTTTCTTTGAGCCATCTCTGGATGAACTGGAGGAGAGGCAACCTTTCCCAAACAGCTTCCTGCCAACAAGGGATGTGGAACAGACTCAATGAGCAGAAAGGGCTCCGCTCTACGCCTAAGAGGCATCAGCAGTGACTGGCCTGGCCACTGTGGGCCTGGGGCTCTGGAGCTTGGTACCGGAAGCCTCATTCCTTCTGGGAACTGAGCCAAGTGCTGGACAGATCCAGCCCATCCTGAGCTCCCCCATTTGGGCACAAGGCTCCACCACGCCGCCTCCTCGTTACAGGGGAGGGGGACAGGACCTGCCTGGCAGCCTCTTGTGGGACCCATAACATAGCAGACGGAGTGAAATCCCTGAGAATATCCTGCTGACAGAAGGAGGATTTCCCCACTCTCTGCTGGCTTGGGATGGGGAGGAAGCTGAGTTTCCAGAGTGGGAGCCCGGAGCTGGGGCTGACAGGGCAGGGCAGTAGCTTCATGGGTATGGGTATTGGCTTTGGGCCTGGGCTCTCCAGGTCCTCACCTGTCCTAGGCACCGTCGCAGGCTCAGCCTTGTGGCTTGATCTATAACAAGGTGGCTAAATTTAGGGAATAAAAATGAGATACGGCCTGGGACCTAGGTAAACCGAAACATTGTTTGTGATTTGTCTAACATTCACATTTTCTCAGAGCCCTGTGTTCTATCTGGAAACACTACCAACAAGACCTCTGAGGTATGGGTGCCAGAAACCCCATCCTAGCTTCTAAGTGCTGTGTGGGCGATGCTGCAGACCTCTGGCTTCTAGGCCACAGCAGGCCAAGCTGCTGAAGTGTAGACCGTGTTCCCAGTTATGGCCACCAGGTGGCAGCAGTGCCTTGTGTTTTAAGTGTAGTTAAGGCAGCCTGGGCTGTGTGAGCCATGTGCTCTGTGAATGGAGACCCCCTTCATGGCGAAGGGCTGCGGCCTCCAGAGAGACCTGGACCCAGACCCAACGGCCAGGCACCTGGGGCTCTTAAGGAAGATCGGACAGATTCATCCTGATAAGCCTTTCCGAGCTCACGTGGCCCTTTGTCCCACCCCAAGCAACAGTCTTACAGGAAGAGGCCGGGAGGTCCTCTCTGGCTTCTGTTCCATTGTCCTTCTGCAACCTTAGCCATGGTTCCGAGAGCTGGCCCAGTCCCCGATTGAGCCTGCGCCGCAGCTGCCGGCCCGCTGCTCTCCTCTGCCTCCTGCCGCCCACCCCACTGGGTGTCAGGCCTCTGTCCCGGGCACCTGGTGCTGAGCTGGAGACAGGCCACCCGCCCTTGGCCAGCAGGCCTCCACATCCCCCCTGGAGCAGGGTCCCCTGGACTCGGGCTGGTACCCCCTTGGCCCTCAGTACTGAGCTCACAGTCCTTCCTCTCCCCCAGGGCACCTGGCCAACACCTCAGCTCGTAGGCAGGACCACAGGCCGTGTCCAGCCACCATCTTGTGGCTCATTCAGCCAGCTGGAAGTAACTTCCGGGTCTCCAGGCAGGTGGTAGGCACAGGGTGCGGCTGCAGCCAACGAGATGGGTACTGGGGCAGGGAGGAGCAGGTGGTGCACGGGGAGGAAGAAGAGCTGGGCCCATCCTGAGCAGCCTCAGGGCACACCCTGAGCTTGGGTTTGCGGGACAGGCCCACGGGAGGCGGGGGGGGGGCGTCGTGAGACACACAGGCCCCACCCAGAGCTGCCTTCCTGACACCATGTGCAGTCCTGGCACCCCACGCTGCCTGGCGTGGGAATCTGGATGTCTACCTGCTGTACAAGGGACTCATGTGCAGTTTCCACAGCACGTCTCCAGCCCCGTGACCCGTGTGGAGCATGAGTGTTGCTCATCCTGCCTTGAAATTAGGACTGGAACTACTCAGCTCTTCTGGTCACTGCTTGCCAGCGGCAGAGCATGCGATCTTTCAGCCTCCAGAATCACATTTATTTATTGTTTGTGGGTTATGGGTCTTGAACTCTGGGCCTGGGCGCTGTCCCCGAGCTCTTCGGCTCATGGCAAGCCCTCTACCACTTGAGCCACAGCGTCACTTCCGGTTTTCTAGTGGTTAATTGGAGATAAGAGTCTCATAGAGTTTCCTACCAGGGCTGGCTTTGAACCATGAGCCTCAGATCCCAGCCTCCTGAGTAGGTAGGATTATAGGCATGAGCCACCAGCACTGGGTGGCTAGAATCACATTTATTAAATATTAATTATTGTTTATATTATTTATTAAATTAAATTTATTAAATAAAAGTTTCCCAGGATTAATTAACCACCCACTCATCATTTATCCATCTACCTACCCATCTGTCCATCCATCCACCCATCCATCCATCCTTTACCCACCACCTCTCCATTTACCCCTCCCTCTCCACCCATCCATTCTCTCCAGCTACCCATCTCTCTGCATCCATTCGTCCATCCACTCATCATCCATACATCCACCCATCCACTCACCCACCCACCCATTCCCCCATCCACCCATCCATCCATCCACCCTTCCATCCATCCACCCTTCCATCCATCCACCCATCCATCCACCCATCCATCCACCCATCCATCCATCCACCCATCCACCCATCCATTCATCCAATCTCACTGCTTCTGTTTCTCTGAAAAACCCACAGTGCTCATTCTATGTCTTTCCCATGACTCTTTCCGTAGCAGCCGCGGCCCGCCCCACCCAAACCCGCATCTTAGCCTCTGTCAGTCTCAGTAGTAGCCTTGTACGCTTCCAGCACCTCAGGAATCTTACTCCTCCTCCAGGTCGCCTGAGTCAGCAGCACCTTGCCTCTGTGCTGGGTCAAACCCAGCCCCAGGCACCTGGTCTGGTCTTCTGTAGCGCCCCACCCCCCACGCTGCCCTCCCCCCAGGCTGGGCGGCTGTGGAGGGGGAGGCCACTGGGAACTGCCCCGACGTCCTGCTGCCGCACAGCACTGGGCAGATCAACTCGCCCTTGCCGCTAAGAGGTGTGGACAGGAGCCAAGATGACCAGCCAACAAAGCAGCGAGCGTTCGCCACGCCACGTGGGACTGTGACCTCCCCAGGCCCGGGGCAGGAGGCTCCGGGGTGGAGGCCAGGGCCAGCGGGCAGCTTGGAGCTGGGCACCTCCTGAGCCAGGCACCTCGAGCCTTTCCAGGGCGCTGGCCTGAGGGCGCCGGAGAATGGTCTCGTTAGTGAGGCTGACAGAGAAGGTGCTGGAACATCGTCCTTCCTCTCAGAGGAGGGCCGGCGGCATCTTCTGCCTCTGCACTGCACACGTGCGTGTCCCACCCTGAAGGTGTTCAGTGACACACTGCTGATTTAAAATCAGCCACACCCATGATGTGCCCAGAGACAAGCATGCCCCCGCCGAAGCCTTCTGTGGCTTCTTTTGTATGTGTGTGCCAATCCTTGAACTCAGGGCCTGGGTGCTGTCCCAGAGCTTTTGTGCTCAGGGTTAGCATACTACCACTGGAGCCACAGCTCCACTTCTGGCTTTGGGGTGGTTAATTGGAGATCAGAGCCTCACAGTCTCCTTCCTGGGCTGGCTTTGAATCACAATCCTCAACTCTCAGCCTCCTGAGTAGCCAGGGTTACAGGTGAGCCATCAGCGGCAGGCTCTGTCGGGTTTCTCTGGCTGGGACTAGATCTACAGATGACAGCAGAAAAGGTCTGCCACCTTGTGGCTGTGCCGACACCCCCGGCCACACGTCTCCTCAGGATGTGGGTTTGCCACTGTGTTGATGATTAAACCTTGAGGGAGAGAACTGGAGTCAAGAATAGACATCTTGCCAGGTGCTGGTGGCTCACGCCTGTAATCCTAGCTACTCAGGAGGCTGAGATCTGAGGATCGCGGTTCAAAGCCAGCCTGGGCAGGAGAGACCGTGAGACTCC